CAAACAAAATATGCGGAGTATTTACTCGACTCCCGATTGAAAGTCATTTAGTCTCAGATCCACTGATTATTATTGAAGACGAAGACTTTGCACTCATTTCTCTCAACCAATTGAATATTGAAAAGGTTTTAATATTTGTTTTAATACTTATTCACAATTTTTATTTAAAAAACTTTCTAAACTTATTTATATTTAAATTATTAGGCGATGGCATCGAAACGAATTAAATGTGACCATAAATTAGTGCCTAAATTAGTAAAGATTTTCCAATCGCCTCTCATTCAAAGCAAATTATAATGTGTTTATAGTTTGTTTGATTTTAATTGGATTTTTAATTCAACTTATTTTTGCAATTTTAAAATTCCAATAAATTTTGTTAAATATCTATTTCTATAATATTTTATGTTCAACTTTTGATTAAATTTGTTTTATATAGAAATAGTTAAATACACATTTAAATAAATTTTTAATTATAATTTGTATTTAAAATATTTATATAATTGTTGCAAATCTTGAATTTTATGTAAAGTCATTATTGAGAGCTTTAATAAAAATACAAATTATTGAAATATTTTACAGCTTTTATTAAAGAATAGCTAAATTATAACTAAACAATAATTGTTGACATTATTATACCTCTAATATGTTTGTGTTTTACATCAAATATCACTTATTTACGTATTTTTGAAAATAAATAGCTAAAAATGCAGTTAAATTAATTTAATATCTTCTAATCAAAAGAGATTGGTTGAACTATACCATTATAAAAAGTATACAGTATTTAAAATATACAAGTACAGTCGACAATGGATATAATATACACCCAATAGTATCCCCAATTCGTTATTGTCCCATATTTTAAAATCATAAGACAATTGCCAGTCATATAACAGTAATATTAAAATAATTTTGTTATTATCCCCAATTTAACATGTATATTATATCGATTGTCGACTGATTGTAGACAGTATGTGGTATTTTTATATGCAATTTAAACATTATATTGACAAACATTAAACCTATTTTGATGCTATAATTCTCAATAAACAATATTCATAATAATAACATTAATGTTGTCATTACTTTTATAAAAGATTCAATATATTGAACATTAATAAACAATATTTTGCAATAATAAGAATAATTCTATATATTCTGTTACAGACTATAACTTATAGTAGTTATAAAAGCTTATGAGTAAAAAACAAAATCTAACTTTAAAATCAGAAAATTTTTGAAAAATATAATTTTTTGAATGATGTCTAAAGTATCGTCGATTGAATTGCCAGATAAAGAGCTAAATCTGACTAAATTGTCAAACAAAGAGCAAAACCCGATTGAATTCAATGCTCTTAGCGTTGGCCAGAAAGACATTAATAAGTTGTGGACAACGGACACAATTGTGGAGCAATTGCGAAAGATTGAGGTCTGGGGCAATAGATTTGGTGCTAATTTAGTACAGCGTTCGGAGAAATACAAAACTCATAAGAAGTCGCCGATTGTCTTAATTATTAAAATCTTTTTATATGTCTTCGCTGTGAAAACACTTGTTTGTCAGATATTGATTGACAAGACATCCACTCATTTGCTGTTAATTTTTGGTGATTTGTCGCAATTCTATGGAAGTGCTGTCAATCGCCTCTACTTTAACTCATTTCTAATAAGTTGGGGCTTTTTGGCCGCATTTGTCTACTCACTGATATCCGGGTATAGTTTATATTACATTCTTATATTTTAAATGTATATTTCAGTAAAATAATGATTTTTAATTACATTATCATTGAAAAGAGAGGACAAGAAAGAGCGAGAATGGGTTTTGAGATTTGACGAGAACTGGAGGAACACATACTTCAGAAGTCCTAACGTTGAGAAGAGAATTGTCGATAATTTGCTGAAGAATGCGTCCACAAGTGTTAAAGCAATGAAGTTGTCGGTCGTCTTCTATGTCCTATTCGTGACAGTCCTCAGTATCATCGGCGGTGTCCAATATATTCCCGCATTTGATAACCACTCGATTGTATTATATATCGGATGGTCTGTCGTGTATATAATGTGGAGTGCGATGGCATCGATGGTCAACATGACAGCCCTATTTCAGTTCAAAAATGAGTGTGCTCGGTATTAGTATGCCAAGTCGCTTCAATTATAGCTAAAACTCAAGAGGTAGGCTTTGTTTGGAGGCAGGCTCAGCACCCATAACAGGTTTGAGAAACTCTTCGTAATGTGCCAATGCGATATGGTTATCGGTTCCAATCAGTACTTCAAAAAGTACATATTCTTCTTCTTCTTGACTTTGGTCACTCATGAGTGCTATCTCTTCTACCAAATGGCCACTTCTATGGATACATCACTCTCTGTAATGATTTGTTTTGTCAATTCAATGAAACAATAAATAGCATTTTGTTGTAATCACAGGTGAAATGCGTTGCTTTGATTTACATCATTGCCGAAGCGCTGCTTTATGATAACCACAGGCAGACAAGGCGATTCTAATGTAGTTACCGAGTGTCTGGGATAGTACACCATGTACCTCAGCCTCTTTACCAGTAGTGGCTACTCCAGGTCTACGTCCAGTCTGTTACAAAGCAGTAATTGTATCATTATTTAATGAGTTCATAACATTATGGTAATAAAGGTGCAGCTATTTGTTGAAAGACTGAGTGGGGGTACTATTGGTATGACTATTTTGGATGGGTTTGTGGCATCGGGTGGTGTGCTGTCCAGTGTATGTCAATTACTACAATAGCCTATTAATGCTATAATAATACACAAAATTATAGTTAAAATTCTATCACTATTTTATTAATTATTATATTATATTTTAGATTCTGACAGGAATTGTCACTTATTTCTCGATTATTGTAGAAATGCATTAAAGTGTTCAATGTTTGCACATCTATGGAAATTATTGACTGTTAAATATACGATTAGTAATTCTCACTGATAAATTGAAGATACACCAAGGTAACAACGCCTATAATGAAAATTTTCAACGCATTTATAAATCTAACTTTTTCAATAACAATTATTATTAAAATACAATTCTAATATATCATTATTATATTTTGTTGCTTGTTTAATTAATAATGTTTTTATGTGGGTTATAAGAAATAAATTTGATAATTTTGTTTTACATTTGCAATAAAAATGATATATTTATGTTTAAAATAATGGGATTAAATTTATGTAGATACTGTACGTGTTTTGCAAAATAATAATAAAATTAGTTCATTACAACTATTTTATGTTTCAAACTTGTCCTTTGGCTGATAGCCTATGAGAAGTATCTATCAATAAAATAAATTATTATTTGTTATTTAAAACGTTTTATAAATTGAGTTTATTTATGGCATTAATTGTATGAATACATAACATTTTAAAAACATATTACAAATAGGGTTTTTAATAATAATAATTTATTTTTATAATTACATTTTTAAGTAATTTAAATATTATTGTAGTGTATATGACATTGAGCTCATAAACTGTATTCAATTTTTCGGTACAAATAAATGTTTTTTATGTTAATTTCAAAATGTTATTTTAATTATTATAATATATTTATAATTAAAATTGTTGTCAACATGGTACTTGAAAGCAAAATTAAAATCCCAAAATGTTTCTAATGTTTAAAAGATGTTCAAAAATAAAATATTCAACACAAGATTCAAACAACAATTATATTCATATCCCTATTCAATGCATTCACTTATTTATAGAACAGGTATTGTGTAAAACATTTCTTACAACAAACTGCAAGCCCTTAAGGTATACACAACACACCATTTGTCGCACTAAATCTTTCAATGTATTATTATATGAATGCATAAAATTTATTATTAATTTAATCTTACGGCAAGTGAAAAAACTAGTTAAACAAAACTTATTCACAATAGTTGTCTTAAATTGGGTTATATATAGTACTTATAGTACAACTAATGCCTTATCATATGTGTGGCGTCAGTGGTATAACGGTTAGCATAGCTGCCTTCCAAGCAGTTGACCCGGGTTCGACTCCCGGCTGACGCAACCTTTTTGATATTTAATTAATCAAATTGATTTTATTTTTTATAACTTTAATTAATTCCTTATTTATTAATAATTCAATAATTAAAACTAATGTATATTTTTAATAAATGTTTATTAACTGAATTACAAGAAAATATAGAAACTTTTTAAAACTGATATATTATAGTAAATAAAAGTAAATTCCGTTTTTATGTAAATTTCTCAATGAAAACATTTAAGAAAACAATTTATATAATATTAGCGTAAAATAGTTAACAAATTAAATTTATAAGTTAGCTATGGTTTATAGGGTTCGATCAGGTTTTTGCTAAACGCCTTCACTTTCTCCACACCCCTCACCTCTTCCTCAAGTAGTGGTAGTTTTGTTAAGTGAAAGTCTTCGTAGAGATCGTTGATTTGATCCAAATACTTGCTCTGCAACTTAGTCCTCGCCCTACACATTGAGCACCCGCTTTGGCCGCTCTTTGGCATCAGGAGCTGATTGATAACAATGTTATGCGTGTCAATGTTAGCGCGGGTCAACTCCTGCACCAGTCTCTCCGTCTCGTACAGTGAGAGGAACTCTGCGATACAGACGCACACAAACGTGCATTGGTTTGGGTCCCGGAACTGTTCGTTCACTGTCTTAATGATGGGTAAGATTTCCTCGATTTTATTGTTCATCACATCGGCGTTCAGATCACTCATCCCTTCATATCAAATGTCAAATTAATGATTATATGATCAGTGATGGCCATCGATGGTAGTGATGGTGATAATGCATACCTAACATTGTGGCCACGTTTGTAACCATAGGTCCCAATTGGTTCTTAATTCGCAACAATTTTCCCAAACCCTTCTCAACCACTGCCGGGAATGATAGCAACCGAAGCGTATGACCTGATTATCAATACAACAAACACTTTATTATGACTTGTATTCAAACTTTTATACTTTTTAAACACTTTCTTTCATCTCAAACATGAAAACACTGTTTGCAATCAATTTATTATAATTGTTAACAATTATATCATTAATTAATTAATTTATGAGAAAATTGAAATAAAATTACTCTTAAAATACATGTAATATAAATGGAGAAAATAAAGACAAATTGTGGGGAAAATAATTTGCAAAAAACAACAAAAAGGTATAAATGAAAGCAATATATGAAATGAAGACAAGAAACAAGATTGTGGCCAAACCTGTGGGCGCGGTGTCGAAGACAACGACATCGAAATTCATAGATCGGACTAATTTCATGACTTCCGCATAACTGACCGCTTCGTCAATGCCAGGGAAGGCACCCAACAGTTCCTGCATTAGTGATCGACTCATTCTCATGGGATCCGATTCGGAGAAGAACTCGTCCGGCAGTTCACCCGTCCCTAAGTTGGGGTCGATTTCCATTGCATACAGATTCTCAAAGCCCACCACCTATTGAGCCGTCAATTATACCATACATTAGATCACAATCAATGTTATGACACAATCCCTCTAACCATACATATATCCAAACACTGATAACCACAACACAAACAATCAATTCATTGATTGTGCGGTAAATGCCGGACACGTGTATGGCGTGAGTGATTGTGTGGGAAGTGTTTCGGTGATACCTTTGTGGGCACTTTCGAGAACTTCTGGTCAAAAGCGTCGGATATGTTGTGCGCGGGATCTGTACTAATGATGAGGACTGAATCCCTGGCGTAAGACAACTGTATGGCCAAAGAGCAGCTGCAGGTCGTCTTCCCGACCCCTCCTTTGCCGCCCACGAAAACCCATCGAAGACTCTTCTGGTCGATCACGTTCTGCAGCGACGGATCCAACGGTTCCAGCATTGAGTTGTCCTCTTCAGACATCACACCATCACTTGATTTGATCCAATTATTTAAGACAATTATTTTGTCAATTCATAGCAAAACAACACGTATTGCTATACAAAGCAAATGACACTCACTTGCAGTTCACGTACTTATCCTTACGTTTGCCGTACTTTGCCTTTCATTTGCATTTATTTATTTCAATCAATTTTATTAAATCTATATATTTTTGAGACCTTAAGTACAATTAGAAATTTGTAGCAAGGTTATTAAAATGGACGTTTTACGTAATGTGTATAGTAAATGGGTTCGACTGTATCTATAGTAAGTGTTTGTATGGTTGCTATGGTTGGCGTAAATGAGGAAAAAGTGTATTGAAATGCAATGCAATGGTTGTGGCCTTCGGTATGACTCCCAGAGTGTGTCATACGGTATGAGATAATAGGGATTATGAATACATGTTTAGCACTGCTATTGTTTAGTACCGATTGGGACACAGTTTCACATCCAAAACAGACAATAGTTATATTAAACTCATTCACTAATAAAAGCGCAAACTTTTTCACCTAAACTTAATGTACAAAAAGTATTTTTCTGGTAATAAAGTTGAGAAAAATCCCTTCGAAAACGGCACGCATTGCACTTTCTTTCACCTCTTCTCATAAGTATTTCGAAACTTTTCATAAGTTTTCAAAACTTTCCTCAACTTTTGATGACAATTATTTTCGCTCAAAAGCAAACAGTTATGCGAAAAGTGTTTCATTAGGAGAAACAACTGGGTTTAGTGAAAGTCATGTCTACTACTGTTCACACCGTATCCCAAATGGCAGACATTTCCCATATAGATATCGACCGCACTTTCGAGGCCTGGATTAATACAAGTCTGGAACGTTCGCCAGATTTGGCCAAAAAGATTAATACCGTGTATCAAATCAATATCAGACAACAGCCAAACTCGGTGTCCACTTGGGTTTTGGATCTGTCCAAAGGGTCGGGAGCTCTCTATAGGGAGGCTAAGAACGACATTAAATGCAGTATTACTCTCGATGGCAATGATCTGATGGAAGCCATTAATAATACAAATCATTTGCGAAAGGTATACATGAGTTCCGCACATCTGGTTTCTAATTGAAGACATAATTAATTATTAATATATTAATAAAACTTTATATTTAGTTATTTGTTGAGCGAAAAATGACACTAAAGGGTACGAGAGTTGCGTTGGAAAAGTTGCAACAGTTTTGGGTCGAAGCAAACAATTGTAATAAAAACTTCGGTTTAATCACCAAATCATTGGATGTTAAGCCAGTGGTCGGCAATCGCGTCGATAACTTTGATTTCACATCTAATGGCTTCAAAAGTGATATCATATTTCATACACTTAAGAATCGTATGCACGAAGAGAAGGATATTGTCCGCAAACTGACTGGTATTATGCAGTTTGATATCACCAAAGATGACACAAAATCCGTGTGGAGTACGTTTAAAGCATTTACTAAACAGTAATATATTGATTAATGTTATAATTAAAATGTGTGATTATAGCGATTGATTTCACTAAACCATTGGGTGATAACGTATATCGGGGGACATCACTAGAAAAACCCGTTTGTATACTATCGATGGATGACGAAGATTTTGCCAAAATGATGGTCAATAAGTTTAATCCACAAAAGGTCTGCAATCGTACTTTATTTTAATATATTATTTGTTTATTATAATGAATATATTAATTGCAGGCATTTATGATGGGAAAGATGAAAGTGAAGGGACAGATACTCTCTATCTATAAGTTGTTCACCGTTTGGGTCGAAGCGGCGTTTAAGAAGAAAAGGGCTCCCGAAGTGCCGTTTATTGAAGAGATTTTGTTTAAAAGTGTTAGTTTTATTTTGTTTGTTATTTTTAGTTTACTAATTAACTAATTTTGTTTTAAAGGATTTAATTCCTGGCCTTAAGAGTGAGATAATGGTGTTTCGACTCATTCAACGATTTGTTAAATATCCGCAATTGTGTGAAGAAGTCGGAGGTTTCTATCACTTTGATATTACCAAAGATGGCAAAGTTGTGTCCAAATGGAGTCAGTTTTATGCAAATTATAAAAATTTAATTTATTATAAATTATTCAAATATTTTCTAATTAGAGCTCGACTTCACAGCAAACAAAATATGCGGAGTATTTACTCGACTCCCGATTGAAAGTCATTTAGTCTCAGATCCACTGATTATTATTGA